TGCTGAACCCAAAAATCGATTGCAGGTTTCCGGCGAGGAAAAAGATGATAAGATGGAGTTTCTACTCTCTGTTTTTAAACTACAACTATCCTTGTGTTGGCCAGGAGCCAGAGAAGGATTTGAAGTTTCCTATTTATTCGAGCTTAGTTGCGAATCCGGTGGGAGAGGTTGCTATTTCTTCAGAGCAGAAGGTTTATGATGTTGTTTTGAAGCAGGCGGCTCTTGTGGAGCAGCAGCTGAGGAAGAAGAACACTCTGGAAGTGAAGACGGACATGTTGGTTCCCGGCACACCTTACTTGTTGAAGGAAGCTTACGATCGATGTGGGCAAGTCTGTGCAGAATATGCCAAGACCTTTTACTTGGGAACGCTGCTTATGACACCGGAGAGGAGACGAGCAATCTGGGCAATCTATGTATGGTGCCGGAGAACGGATGAGCTTGTGGATGGTCCCAATGCTTCACATATCACTCCATCCGCCCTCGATCGTTGGGAGGCAAGACTGGAGGATCTGTTCGATGGACGACCATATGACATGCTTGATGCCGCCCTCTCCGACACTGTTGCTAACTACCCTGTCGACATCCAGGCTTGTGCCATCTACCACTTCTTTGTGTATCTCGTCTTTTTATGTATTTGTTTGTAATTCTTTTTGTAATTTACAGCCATTCAAGGACATGATTGAAGGAATGAGATTGGATTTGAAGAAATCAAGATACAATAATTTTGATGAGCTATATCTCTATTGCTACTATGTTGCTGGCACTGTAGGATTGATGAGTGTTCCAGTGATGGGCATTGATCCAGAATCTCATGCTACAACAGAAAGTGTCTACAACGCTGCATTGGCTCTAGGAATTGCAAACCAGCTTACAAACATCCTCAGGGACGTGGGTGAGGAGTAAGTATTATACGTCTTTTAATCTTTTAGTAAATTAAATGGTTAGTGATCTGGATTAATTTACTGTCTGATCTAAACATTTGAAGTTGAATTGCTGGCAGTTACTGCAGCACTTAAAGAATAGGTTTTTTATCTGAAAACAAAATTGAAGATAGTTTATTGCTACTTCTATTGTGTCAGGCTGTTCATCTTTCCCATGGGCTTTGTTAGGCTTTAAAAAATTGAAATTGAGGAAATTAAAGGAATGGAAATTGAAAATGGTAAAGGAATTGAATTGAACATTGTTTTTACATTTTTATTTGGTTTAGGAGAAATTGAGTGAAAATTATGTTTACCTTTTATTTGTCTGACAAAATGGGATTTGTTGCCTGTGCGGAGGGTATATATTAGTCGAAGTAACGAACTCTTAAAATTTTCATATAATTCTCTGTAGGTATGAATAGAAAATTAACAATGGAAAATTATTTTATTCAATTTTCAGGTTAAATCTTATTATCAAAAAGTTACACCTGAAGTTATGTTTATGAATCAAGATGCATTTACATTCTCTTCGATTGCTTCAAAATAAATATGCCAGTAAAGTACAGTTGTGAAAAACTATTTAACTCATATACAAGATATTTCCCTGAGGATTATGTCGTTTTGCTCATGTATAAGTAATCTTATTTTCACCGGAATACTTTATTCCTGGTGGAATATATTATTTTTTGAATGTGTGGAAGACTAAAAGTCTCATGCCAGATATGAGGAACTTGGAAATAATGTGAGATATAAGCACGTAAGCAACTAATTTCATAGAAATTTAAATGTGAATATACTTGGGGAGTTGACCACTGCTGCAAAGTAAATACAATCATTCAACATCAAATAAAATTGGATTCATATCTTTTCTAATTATCATGATAATTACACCTTTGGCAGCCACCCACTCATTTAATTCACTTTGGATTTTTGGGGACAATCTATGATTAATTTTTGAATCATCCATCCAAAGGGGATTGATTGGCCGTGATCGATTGTTATATTGTGATAATTGAGAGAACTTGAATTCAATAAAACACTAGAAAAGCTTCCCATATGCTGTTTATAGCATGTTTGCCATTACCAATATGAAAGGTGAATATTCTTTGTTACTCGGGTCTTGTTTGTATTGTTCAGTGCAACAAGAGGAAGGGTGTATCTTCCACAGGATGAGCTTGTCCAGGCTGGGCTTTCAGATGACGATATATTTAATGGGAAGGTAACTGATAGATGGGGAGATTTCATGAAAAATCAAATTGCAAGGGCACGGATGTTCTTCCAAGAAGCAGAGAAGGGGGTCGCAGAGCTTAGTCAAGCTAGTAGGTGGCCGGTAAGACTTCAACTTAATGTGTTTTTTCTTTCCCACGTTATCTCATTTCTTTGCAAAATATTCTAATTTAAATATTGGTACATATACCGTATTCAAAGGCATGCATGTAATTCCTTAGAAGTTTTATATGTTGTACTTATTTAATACACATAACTTCAAGTTATAAAAATACATACAATTGCATTTGCCAAATGTATAAAATATAACTAAATGCAATGACAATAATTTACATATTATATTTAAAATTTCATAAAAAAAAGTACCATTGGTTGAGACAGTTTTGTTTCTAGATTTTAGATTCCTTTTTCTAGCTTTAAATCGTTATCCATTTGTGTATTGACAGTAAACCCTTCAGCAAAAGCCAACGGTTTGAATCATTGCAAAATAATAATAATAATAATAGAAGTTGAAGCAGTAGTAGTGATATATATATATATATATATATATATATATATATTATAGTGTTCTTACTACTTTTAATTTGCATATCCTACTTGCATATTTTTCCTTCCAGGCATGTTTGTTAAGTCAATAGCATTGATATTCATTTTTGCTTGCTTAAAACTAAACTGCAAGGTAAAATATATAACCCATTTCACAATAGAACATGCTCCATCTTATGAGAACTTTGGAGAAGCTTGCACTCCCCTTGATGGCCACTTCCTTCTCAAATTGAATTCTGACTCTGTTTGCATATCCCCTTCTGCATTAAATGACCAAGTTATATATTGTTCAATCTTGTGACTTCCCTACTTCTCTTTTTATTGTTGTTTCTGCTTATAATGACTTCTTTATGAAAGATGAGCTATGGGACTATCAGGTCAATGCTGAAACCTCCATTGGCTCATCGCTAGTGATTTTATTTACATTCTATTTGACGCACACCAAGTGCTGCGAAACACTGGTGGCTCACGCAAGTATACGTGATGTATCAATAGTACCGGAGTTTGAGTCTGGCTATCGATCCCACAGGGAATGAGACAAACTCAATCAGAAAAAATTCTAGCCTACAATTGTCAGTCCTAACTTGAAATGTTGAAGTTTTGAAGTTTAATAAAAGTTCTTACCCTACTTTTTAAAAATGAGCAAAACTTAAATTTCAAAATAATTAAAAGAAAGTAATGTTAATTAGGATATGTCCAAGAATTGTTCTTTGAAGTGGTTATGTAGGTATTCAACTTAGCAAATGATTTATTGTAGGTGTCAAAAAGGAAAAAAATAAGTCTTTCTTATATCCTTCCGGTAGTTCAGAAAGATTGACAATTTATTCGTTTAATTCCCTAAATCAAATGAAAACTCTAAGACAACATTGCTAGCTAATTAAGTTGTACGAATTTGAAGGAGATATTCCTATTCCAATGGGTTTGTGTGGATAACTTAGGGCCCGTTTGGGGCAGCTTATAAGTGCGGCGGCGTTTTTGAAAACGCTGCCTAACCATTTTGTTTGTGCGTTTTTGAAAACGCTGCTGCCGCATTTGAGTTTTTATCTTGAAACGTACAAGCTGCCCCAAACAGACCGTTAATCGTTCCTTATAAATTCCTCCCAAAACTCTATAATCACGATTAATTTTAACAAATTAACTGACCAAAGTAAAAATCTATGAGTTCCTAAGTTATTCCAACCCTATTTAGAAATTGTACACAAAATTCACACCATATTACTTAGCTCTTATCTCTGCACTTTCACAACAAAGGAGAACAAAAAATCTACTCACTAAGCATGTCGAATTTCATCAAAATGAACATTGAATTAAGAGTACAACTCATATAAAGTATTGTCTCACAATTGTCTCTTAAAGAAGATTATACAAAAACTCAGAATACTTATCTCCCTTAAGTCCAACAAATGCAGGTGAATTATAAGCACACTCACAATCTCTCAATTTCACAAACTCTCTTTGATCTTTCTTTAAAACTTTTAATCTTCTTGCTAGATGTGTGGTCTTTTCCTCCATAATTTTCTCTACCTGTAAGGAAAGAAGATCACAGATGAAAAGCCTTTAAAAATTCTTCTCCAAAGTTTTTATGTTTCCTCCCCTTTCATCTCGAAGTTTGAACTGTCTGTAGGCCCTCCCTGAATCCTTCCTCCCCTTGCAGGCCCTCCCTGCAGGTCTTTCCTGAATCCTTCCCCCCCCTACTGACTGCTAGTAAGCCTACAGAACATTCCTTCAACAACCCAATTGCTCATTCCCGAGCAAGCAGAGCAACCACAAGTTTCCTTTACGATTGGCCTTCCAAATGATCTTCCTTCTTGATCCTTCCCAGCCCAGTAGGCCCCCAAACCTGTTGATCATTCCTTGCCTAGCCTGCCATCCTTCCAAAGGACCGCAACAAGCAGAGTAGCAGCCAGGAATCCTGCATCAAGAGTTTGCCAACAAGTTGTGTCCAATTAGTTTTTCTTTATCCAGCCCTAAGCATGCATAGATTTTATGATAAAGTACGGAATGAGGATGTCTATCTCTATTTAGGAGGGTAGTTTTGCATCAAAGACCATGAGTTCTATCCAAACCACCCCTGAACTCTCTACCTTTATCACAAAACATGAACTAAATGGCCATAACTTCCTTTTAACCGTGTTTTTTTACATTTGTGAAAAAGGAAGAGAGGAATATCTTACGGGAGAGGGTCTAGTTCCTGAGCTCACTAATCCCAACCATTGCTTATGCAATATCTAAGATCATAGAAGATGCTATGCTTTTTTTAAAATTGTAGGAGAACAAGATGATGATTATGTTCTTAATTGGATCTAAATAAGAATTTAGATGAGGTGAGAGGAGGAATCATAGCCATGAAGCCGCTTCTTACCACTATGGAAGCCTTTGCTAAAGTTAGAAAAGAATAAAGTAGGAAGAAGCTATGGCAAGAATTGTGGTTTCATCTAATACTGAAAACTTTGTTTTGTACACACAACTACTACCACAAAAAAAAAATCATCCCTTGTGTGATCATTACAAGAAACTTGGTCACACAAATGATAAGTGTTGGAAATAATATGGAAAATATGTTGATTGGAAACCTGGAAAAGCAAGGATCAAAGCAACAAATTCCATGCTATTACCTTTTCTGAAGGGTTGGTCGTCTCTTGTCCCTTCACCAAGGAATAACTTGATGTGTTGAAGAAGCTTCTTACTAGCACAACCAAGTAGCCTACTGGCTTGATGATACACCATTGTATCATACCTTCCTATCTTGCTAACAATGAAAAATGTCGACCTTGGATAATAGATTCATGTGCTTGTAATCGCATGCCTGGAGACATTTATGCTCTTGCCAACTATCAAGAGACCATCACATCCAAATTTATTAGACTTGCCGATGAATCTCACTTCAGGATTGTTGGGAAAGGAGAAGTGAAAGTTTCCGAAGTTTTTCAGCTTTCTTCTATGTTATATGTTCCAGAACTAAATTACAACTTACTTTCAACTAACAAGCTTACTCATGATTTAAACTGTGTTACTAAATTTCATTCTAGCTCTTGTGAATTTTAGGTGGTGGATTTGAGGTAGGTGATTGACAGTGCTATATTGCATCAAGATTTATAGCTGCACAAGGAAAATTATTCTCTTATCACATAAGTGTCATCTTCACCATCCTCTTCCTATATTTTTGAGTTAGTTGTCTTTGTTGAAAGTTAAATTCTATTATGGTATTGTCATTTTGGTTATCCCAATTTTCATTATGTTGCGAAGTTACACCTCAATCTTTTTAGTAATAGAAAGTTAGAGTTCTATTAGTGTGATACTTGTCAATTGGCTAAAAATACTCATCATGTATATCCTCTTTTTTAGTACAAACTCTTAATTTCTCTTTCACCTACAATGACATTTGAGGACTATCAAAATTAAAAATCACCAATGAAGCCGATGGTTTATCTTCTTCATCTATACAAATATTTTAGACATTTCATGACATGATATACTTAGTGCTAATGTAAAATTCAGATTCTCCAAACTGATATTGCAAATGAATACTTTAACTCGATCCTTGAACCTTACCTTACAAAGATTGGTTTCATTCATGTGAGCTCTAGTGTTGAGACTCTTTAACAAAATATAATAGTTGAGAGGAAAAATAGATATCTCATCGAGGTATCTCGATCTATATATTCTAAAAGTTTTTAGGGAGATGTAGTCTTCCCAACCACCTACCTCATAAATAGAATGTCAAGCAGAAATCTTAGATTCAAAGCCTTTCTTAATGTTTTGATGGTAACATTACCCTTATGTTAGATTTTTCTCATCTATTCTTCCTCTAAAAGTGTTTTTTTGTCTTTTTGTTCCCATTCACCAACCAAACAACACAATGCTTAACTCAAAATCCATCAATTATATCTTCATCGATTATGCTTCTAACAAAAAGGGGTTCAAGTGTTATTCTACCATTATAAAAAAATACTATAAGTTCATGAATGCTACTTTATTTGAAAAAAAATCATAATATCCCAATTCCGAAATTCAGTGAGAGTCTTGGTGAATGTTAGAATTGAGACACCACTCTGGATACTACACTGATCTTGAGTCATCACAACCTATTTGACTTTCCTCTAACTATTCTATCTCCTAAGATTCACCACTTGAGGATAACCAACTTGAGATTGACAGTAAGGAAATATATGAAGAACTTCATATGTACACTACGAGAAAAAAACTCACTGAGAAGAGTAAAGATAATATGAAATCACAGTACTGTTCGCAATCAAACATGTATTCATGCATCTCTAAAGGACTAAGAGAGGTGGAATCTAGTGGAGAAGATAGTGAAAGTTTCACAAAGTATCCTATCCATGGGGATGTTGCCTATGGGACTTTATCCTCACCTTATAAAGTTTTTGTATCTAATCTTGATAATGTATAGATACCCAAGTCTAAATATGAAGTACTTCAAAGTCCAAAATATAAAAATGCAGTTGAAAAGGAAATCCGAGTACTTGATCTAAATAACACATGGTCCTTTACAAAGCTTTCTCCAGATAAAAGATTTGTTTTGTGCAAATGGGTGTT